TTGGCTAAGTCTTTTCCCAGTGAAGTGTGCACTGAATGGCCAAAGAGGTCAAATGTATTCCCATGTACTGAGAGATTGTATTTTAATGGGAAGGGACTTGTTGGCATATCTTTACATATTTAACAATTAGGTTGAATTACTTGAAATGAATTCAAATTGGGTAAGAGATGTTTGCCAGCATGCATATATATATATATATATTTATAGTTTTATTGAGGGATATAGGCTGGTAACTTGCCAAACAGCTAAAGAGAAGAGAAATGTAGAATTAAAAAAGTACAAGTTGAGGCAACTAAACTTTTTTCTTTTTGTCCTAGAACAGGGACTCAACTACTTGATGAAGAAATGAAAGATTGTATATTTTTCCTATTAATGTTTAATGATGATCTCTGAAGGAAATGCAAAGCAAGTTACATAATGATCATTTTAAGTTCTGTACTGTGTTTTATATCTTTTTTTTTAAAAGATTTTATTTATTTCAGAGAGAGAAATCAAGAGAGACCAAGCAGGGGGAGGGGCAGAGGGAGCGAGAGAAGCAGACTACCCCCTCTGAGCAGGGAGCCCGACGTGGAGCTTGATCCCAGGACCCCGGGATCATGACCTGAGCTGAAGGCAGACGCTCAAAAGACTGAGCCACTCAGGCGCCCCTTGTCGTTATATCCTATTGATACTTTGTGGTCTTGAGTAGCTCAAAAGGAATTTTCAGAATCTTGAGGTCAAGAGGTTTGCCAGTGAGGACTTTTGTACTCTTCTTATCAAATCAGTTCATAGCTAGGGCTGTCTTTCATTCACTGTACTATGCTCAAGAGCTTACTTTTTTCCTCTGTTCATCAAATCTTTATTTGAACATCCCTTAAGACCTATTTCATGATTTCCCCATTGTCATTTGGTGCCTGTAAATCAAACTACTTAGTAGATCAGAGTAATTGCTGTCCTTTTAAAGGATGCATTTTTTTAAACCTTTTGTTTGTTTTCTTTTGATAGAAGACTTTTCTGGTGAGATTATTAGTTATGATATTAATGAATGTGATTATGTGGTACTATAAATGAAATGTGTCAATATTTGGAAGATCTGCATAACTCTGTGAATCAGTATTTTCTAAATGACCAAATGCATGATGGTACAAAATCATGCATTGAATAGAAGATATATTTAAAGTGCAAGATAGATGAATGGAATTTAATGTAAGAGTATGAAATGCTTATTAATACAGTTTCAGATTCCACATTGCAGCTAACCTTTATTTTTTAAAAAATTTTTTTGAAGATTTTATTTATTTATTTGACAGAGGAGAGACACAGTGAGAGAAGGAACACAAGTAGGGGGAGTAGGAAAGGGGGAAGCAGGCTTCCCCGCAGAGCAGGGAGCCCGATGCGGGGCTCGATCCCAGGACCCTGGGATCATGACCTGAGCCAAAGGCAGATGCTCAATGACTGAGCCAGCCAGGTGCCCCTGCAGCTAACCTTTAAGAAACTTCCACTTGTTGAGTTTGGTATAGTATCCAAGAAGAATATATCTAGAATTATTTGACAAGGCTATTAAAATACTCCTCTCTTTTTAAAGTACATATTTGAGTGAGGCTGGATTTTTTTTTCATATCCTTCAGCCAAAACAACATATTGCAACACTAAACGTAAAAGCAGATATGAGAATTCAGCTCTTTTATTAAGCCAGACATTAAAGAGATTTGCAAGAATGTAAAACAATGCCATGCTCTGTTGTTTTTGGAAATCCTAGTGATTCCATTAAAAATATTTCTATGTTAATATGTAGTAGGTTTGTTATTTTTAAATGAATTAATAAATATTTTAAAAATTTCTGGGTTTTCATTTTTTATATAGTAAATTTAATCCCTATAATTCATCTACACAGAAGCTCTTTGGTGTTTTCAGTACTTTTTTTTAAAAGAGTGTAAAAGGTATCCAAGACCAAAATGTGTAAGAACCTTTGGTGTAGTGCTTAAGCAGGGACTTGGAGCCAAATTGCTTAAGTTTGAAACTCAACTTGATTGCTTAATAGCTCTGAACAAGATATTGAACTACTTTTTGCCTCATCTATAAAGTATAGTAATATAGTCTATAAGGTTGTGATATGGATTAACTTGAATATATGAAAAGTTCTTAGAATTTGTATAGCATTTGGCAAGCTGTATAATTATCACCTGTTGAACATTGGTAGTGTAACATGTGTTCTCCTTTATTGATGCTAAATTTCCAGCTTTCTAGAGATTGGGTGTTTTGGGTATTAACACTGTCAACTCTTATCAGTAGAGTCCTGTATCCACAGATATCCTGTATCCGCAACCTTTTCTGTAATCCTTTTTCCTCCAAGTCCATGGTTCTCAACCTTTGCTTTGCATTCGAATCACCTGGGAGCTTGAATTTAAAACAAACACCCCAATACCCAAGACCTCGGAGAGGGATCTCAGATTAACCCAATTGAACCAAAATCAGGAGGTGGAGGGTAGGGCCCAAGTATTAGTATTTTTAAAGCTGTCTAGGTGATTCCGTTGCAAAGACTGGTAACCATTACTCTGGAGTCTGATCTTCTGCCTGGAGGTTCCGCCTTTCCCTCCGTGTTCTCCAATAAATTGGAGCTGATTTCTCTCTCACACCTTTTATATCATTGTGCCTAGAGGTATGTAGGTGTTCTCCTTGCTCTTCAGTGCTGCTACCAAGGAAATTGTCATTCCCTTTTCCCTAAAATTCTCTACATAAATGATTTAATATGCATATAAATGATTCTTCCCAGCCAGGCACGCTTTTGGTGGTACTCCACACCTTGTCAGTCCCAGTTACAGACCACCTCTGCTCCCTCGGTTGTAACCGTCCTGTTCTCTGACCACACCTCCCATCTCTCCAATTCATTCTTTTTAGTAGTTATCTGTTACTATGTTTTCTGTTAGTTATCAAACCCATTAGTCTTTTTATTCAGCCAATAGCACTGGCCCTGTTACTGCCGGACACCTACTGATTGACCTAATTGGAGGAGCAAACCTCACCCTAATGAGCATTAGCCTATCAGGCTTTTATTACCTTTGTCATTCTTTTTTTTTTTTTACCTTTGTCATTCTTATTCTATTCACTGTCCTTGAATTTGCAGCAGCCCTGGTTCAAGGTTATGTATTTTCCCTATTAGTAAGCCTTTCCCCATGTAATAATACCTAATGATCCACCAAACTCAGGACCATTGGTTCTGCCACCCTTTCACGAATTCTCACCTCCCTTACAAACTTGCTTGTCTTTTTCCTGGCTTAACGTCCACGGTTCATAATTGTAATCATTCTTTTGCAAACCCTCTAAGATCTTTGCCTCTCTTTCTGTTGTGCTTTTCTGGCAAAGTCCCAAGCTTTGTTAAATCCAAATTCCTCTCACTTCACATTTGCACCCAGGCAATGAAATTTATGCTAATTGGTCTCACTTAAAAACCATCCCTCTAACCTCAGTAGGGCTTTTAGTGCTATCTGGAATTCTTCCTACATTTCTCCAGTCCATTTAGTCTACTAAATGTCTCTTCTAAGTGACTATTTCATACTTTCTTCTCCAACTTCCAATATCCTTTCCTTCTTCCTGACTCCCGTTTGATGACCTTCCTTCCTGTTTCAAGGAGAAAAGAGAAGCTCTCCGGACCACATGCTCCTTTCACCTCATGGAACAACCTGCCTGCACTTAACACTCATTTACTTGGCTTTTCCTCCCGTTCCTATGGGTGGACTCTCTGCGCTCATTTCTAAGGCCAGCCCTCTTGGAGATCCCATCCCTGTCTACCTATTTGCTTTCTTTCCTCCTGCTATTCTGCCTCCCACCCCCACCTTATTCCCCACTCCCACCTTATTCCCCACCCCCTTCGCTACATGGACATTCCAGCAGAGGACAAACATCTGAGCAGAACTTTCCCTTGGACCCCACACTCCCCACTAGTTGCCAGTTTGAATTGTCTGTCTTAGCTATGTGCACTTTCTACGTATCCTTTCTTCAATGCTTGACAGTTACGTTTTACATTACCAAAGAGCACCTGCTGAGGATGCTATTCATGGGTGTGTCACTGGGCCCAGTGGCCAGCTCTCAGGCTTCCTTAACTCACCTTGTTAACACCATTTCACACAGCTGATCACCTCTTTCTTCTTGAACCACTCCCTTCCCTAGGCTTCTGGGATGCATGCTGTATGGTGCTCAGTAGCATTTATTACCATCTACTGATCTATTTCATTGTTTGTTGTTTATTTTGGCCCACTAAAATGTAAGTTCTTGGAGAGCAAGGGCTTGGCTTGTTTTCTTTACTGCCTAGAACGGTGGCTGATGCTTAATAATAGGCATTTGATAGCTATTGTTGAATGAATGAATGTGAGCTTCACAATGACTGTCTGTTGACCAGATTTTCCCCCGTTCCCAGCTCCTTTCTTGCTCATAAGCTGTCATGGCCATTTCCTTCCTCTCTCTGGACCTTGCATTTCCTGATTTATTTTCCCTCTTCTCTACTCCATTCCTATCATTTCTAGGCCAAACCATCACCGGTGTGCTTATATTTCTGTGGGGCTCTGGTGTTTACAGAGCATTTCTTAATATCTGGTATTACAGATGCAGATGGTGTGGGGATCTGGGTTGAATGATATTAGCATATAATGCTGGATTTATGTGCAGATGGAAAAAAATTAAAATTATAAAAGAATAAGAAGGAAATTAAGTCTTCTAGGGCTAAAATGATGGTCTTCTAGGATATTTAGGTTTCTCGTTTTATCACTGCCCTGCTCTACACTTTACGTTTCTGTCTCCTCATGATGGAATTCCGCCTTGACTTTCTGCCAGGATTTGTAGAAGGCCAGCAAAGTCACCAAGCTCAAAAGATGCTTCTAACTTCAGTTCTGTGTTTATTGCTAATTAAGAGTGATCTGTTCCTCTTAGATTTTCATAACTCTTTCCCTCTATGTTGCTGTGCTCATGTGATACTGGATTTGTATGAAAATTCCTTTTTCACTGGCCTTTTATTTTTGGCTCCGCAGAACCTTGCCTCCTGGAACCCTTCAAACCCTGAATGTCTGTTGCTTGTGGTGAAGGAGCTCGTGCAGCAGTACCATCAGTTCCAGTGCGGCCGCCTCCGGGAGAGCTCCCGCCTCCTGTTTGAGTACCAGACGCTACTGGAAGAGCCGCAGTACGGAGAGAACATGGAAATTTACGCTGGGAAGAAGAACAACTGGGTAAGGTGTTTTTGAGGCTGGGAAAAAAAGGCACTTCCTTTGTAATAAAGTAATCAATTCTGATGTTCATTTGTAGTCAGTCCCAGCCATTTCCTTAGGTAAACATGGTTTCAGGTGCCTGTGTACTTTCTCAAAATTTCTGTGTAATTCCTCGGGGAGGAATTATATGAGAGGGTGAACACCAGGGACCATTGGGAGCCACTTAGAAGCAGAAGGGACTTAAACGTTCATCTGGTTCATCATGTTCCTCAAAATGATCACCTGGGGAAGTTTGTAAAATTTGGAGTCTTCTGTCCTCATCCCCAGATGTTCACGAGTCAGGGGTGAAACCTCGGGACCTGCCTGTATAATAAGGGTCCCTTGGAGGTTCTGAGGCCGGTCACACAGGCCACATATTTGAGACACTGACGAGAGCCCCTTCCTTTTCGGTGTAGAACGTCTCTCTCTCCCAGTCAGACAAGAGAGGTCAGTAACTCTGGAGGTAGCTAGCTTGTCTGGAGCCTTTTATAATCTCTTTTTGTAATTTTTTGACTTTGTAGGATCTTACAAACTCAAGTTGGATCGTGTCTCTCCTCTTCCCAGAACTCAAATATACTCTCTGTTTCTCACGTGCTAAAGCCAAAGTCCCTCCAGTGGCGCAGAAACGCCCTACGTGCTTCCCATCACCACCACCCTCCACCCATCACTGCTTCTCTCACTTCGTCTCTTACTTTCCTGTCTAAAAGTTTCCAGTTCCACCGTACTAGCACCCTTGCTGTGTGCAGACACACAGGTGTGCTCCTGCCCTAGGGTCTCTGTGTAGCTTCCCCTTGTCTGGCATATTTCCCCTAGATATTCTCATGGCTGACACCCTTCCTTTTTAGGTTTTACTCATATGTTATATTCTCTGTGATGCCTGTGTTAACACCCCCATTTTTTTTTTTTTTAAGTAGACTCCATGCTGGCTCCCGGGGTGGGGCTTGAGCTCACGACCCTAAAATCAAGACCTCAGCTGAGATCAAGAGTCAGTTGCTTAACCGACTGAGCCACCTAGGTGCCCCAACACCCCCAATTTTTTTAAGCAACTTTTTTGAGGTATAATTTACGTACTGTAAATTCACCTGTTTTAAGTGTCCCATTCAATGATTTTTAATACATTTGCCAAGTTGAGCAGCCACCACCACAATCCAGTTTGAGAATGGTTCCATCACCCCGATAAGATCGCTCATGCCTATTTATGGTTAATCCTCTTCCTACCCCTATCCCAAGACAAAGTAGTTGGGAACTACTAAACTACTTTTTCTCTGTATAGGTTTTCTTCATACAATGGTATTCTTTTGTGGCTGGCTTCTTTCACTTAGCATAATATGTTTGCACTTCTTCCACGGCGTAGCATGTGTCTCTGCTTGCTTTCTTTTTGTGGCTGAATGATTCCATTGTATAGACATACCACATTTTGTTTCTCCATTTACCTATTGATGGACATTTGGGTTGTTTCCACTTTTTGACTCTTATGAATAATGCTACTACAAACATTCACATGCAAGTCTTTGTAACACCCCCCCTTTTTAAAAGATTTTATTTATTTATTTGAGAGAGAACACGAGCAGTGTAGGGTGGGGGTGGGAAGAGCAGAGGAAGGGGGAGAAACAGACTCCCCGCTGAGCATGGAGCCCCACCTGGGGCCCGATCCCAGGACCATGAGATCATGACCTAAGCCAAAGAAGGAGGCTTAACGACTGAGCCACCCAGGCACCCTGTGTAACACCCCCTTTTTTTTTTTATTAAAGATTTTTATTTATTTATTTGACAGAGAGAGACACAACGAGAGAGGGAACACAAGCAGGGGGAGTGGGAGAGGGAGAAGCAGGCTTCCCGCAGAGCAGGACCCTGGGATCATGACCTGAGCCGAAGGCAGACGCTTAACGACTGAGCCACCCAGGCGCCCCTGTAACACCCCTTTTTTAAAATCGAATCTCGCACCGCCCCACCTTTACTCTGCTCTACATTTATTTGCATGTCTTTTTAACATACATATAATTAGCATGTTGTATAATATAGTGCTGCATAAAATAACCATTTCAGAATTTAGTGACTTAAAACAACATTTATTATCATAGTTTTTGTCTGTCAGGAATCTGTATAGACCCTCTGCTTCTGGGGCTCTGATAAGCTGAACTCAAGGCAGTGGCCAGGGCTGTAGTCTCCTCAAGGCTCAACTGGAGATGGATCCATTCTAAGTTCATTCATGTGATTGTTGGTACCATTTAGGTCCCTTGTGGGCCTTTGGATTGAGGGTCTTAGTTCAGTCCTGGCTTCTGGCTGTTGGCTGGGGCTGCCCTCAGCTTCTTGGCTCTTCACAGGGCCTCTCCAGAGGGCAGCTCATAAGATGGCAGCTGGCTTCACCAGAGCAAGCAAGCAGGAGAGAGAGTGTGTGAGATAGACGTCACAGTCTGTATGATCAAATCTTGGAAGTGATATCTCATCACATTTACTGTGTTCTGTTTGTTAAGTCCAGTCCATACGCAGGGGAGGAATTATATTGAGAGGGTGAATACCAGGGACCATTGGGAGCCACTTAGAAGCAGCCTACCACACTCATTTATTGTTTATTGTTTGTGTGCCTCTCCCCACTGGAATGTAAAATTTCAGGAAGGCAGGTATCTCTGCTCTGTTCACTGTTGTATCAGAAACACCTAGAACAGTGCCTGCCACATTGTTTATTTTCTATAAACATTGTTGAATGAATGAATGAATAAACCTGAGTCTAGATAACCATAGAATAACTTTTAGATTTCCTTCTCTGTCTTAACTCTTTTAGGTTTCACTTAGTCTTCCTTAAGTTGAATATGCCTCCTTCCCTTTTATTCTTTAGCCTTTTCTTAAAGGACATGTTTCCCAAGGTCTTATACATGATTAATGCCTTTGAATCAGTAGGTTTAAAATTTATTGTTACAAATCATCTTGTTTGTTCAGTTCAAGTTTTTTTTTTTAAACTATTTTGTTTATTGTGGTAAAAGACACATAAAGTTAATTTACCACCTTCACCATTTCTAAGTATACAGTTCAATAGTGTTGAGTATCTTCACATTGTTGTGCAATACATCTCTAGAACTTTTTCATCTTGCAGATTTGAAACTCTGTGCCCGTTAAGTACCAGTTTCCCTTCCTTCTAGCCCTTGGCAGCTACCTTTCTACTTTCTGTTTCTGTCATTTTGAGTCTTTTAGATTCTTGCAGTAAATGGGATCATGCAGCATTTGTCCTTTTGTGACTGGCTTATTTCATTTAGCACAATGCCTTTGAGGTTCATGCAGGTTGTAGTATGTGATAAATTTCATTCCGTTTTTAAGATTGCATAGTATTCCATTGTAAGTATATACACATTTTGTTTACCCATTTACACGTTGATGGACATTTGAGTTGCTTCCGCCTCTTGGCTATTGTGAATAATGCTGCACTGTATAAGGGTGTGCTAATAAATCTGCAAGATCCTGCTTTGAATTCTTTTGATTATATCCCCAAGAGTGGGATTGCTGGTTCATATCGCCAATGCTATTTTTCAGTTTTGAAAAACCTCTTTACTGTTTTCCATAATGGCTGCACCGTTTTCAGTTTCCACCAACAGTGCAGAGGTTAAGGCTTTAAACTATTGATGATTTTGCATCTTGAATCTGTTCGCATGGATTGTAAGGAAGACTTTGTTGAACTTAGTTTATCCTCTCCTCCTAGCATTTTTCTTATTAAATAATCATCTTAGTTCTCCTCTCAAAAACAGATGTTAGGTTAATTTGGCATGACTTCTTGGTGAACCTCTGTTGTCTTTAGTGCTGATAGACTCATTTGAAAATGGGAATCACTGTCAAACGAATTGGTCTTTGGTTTTTAGGGTTTTCCTTCCTACCCAATTCACCCTTTGAATATTAAGGCTGATTTTAAATATATCCAGTTTTATGGCACCTTTTCCGAACTAAAAAGTTTTTAAATTGCAGTGGACCCTTGAACAACATGGGGTTAGGGGCACCATCTCCCCCCTTCCACCCCTGTCGTGCAGTCAAAAATCCATGTATAACTTTGGACTTCCCCAGAATTTAACTACTAATAGCCTCCTGCTGACCGGAAGCCTCACTGCTAACATAAAAGGTTGATTAACACATATTTTGTATGTTATATATATTATATACTGTTTTCTTCCAATAAAGTAGCTAGAGAAAAGAAAATGTTATTTTAGAAAATCTTAAGGAAGAGAAAATACAGTAATAGTCCTGTACTGTATTTATTGAAAAAAATCTCTTTATAAGTGGACCCGTGCCGTTCAAACCTGTGTTGTTCAAAGGTCAACCTTATATTCATTGGCTCAGCTAATACTTGACTTACAGTCCATCTAGATGTTGAAGTTTAAAATCATTTAAAGCAGCTAGACAATTTATAGTGTTTTCATTCTTCACTTAAAAAGCCTACTACTGCTATACTTACCCCAGTTTATTTTGATTTACTATTGAATAATTTGTAAGCATTAGGGCAATGGGTATGGATTCAGGGGAAGTGAAGAAACTGAGAATCCCATAGCAAGGCAGGTTAGAGGTTAAGCTTCCAGTAGAGCAGGCCTAGGGAGGGCCCTAGTAGAAGTGGGAGCTGAGACTACAGAAGTAAAAAGATAGGCATATGAGTTAGTTACTGGTCAAGGAGCAGAATATAAAGGTGTCTTGAGGGATGAAACACATTCAAGCTTGGCAGACTGGTTCAGGAATGCATTAAAGGACAGTGTGCTAATGGAATCCATAACTAGACCAAGAATTTGGACAATAAACACAGGACGCCGGCAGAAAACAAGGAACTTGATTTTGAGTTTTGAGCCAAGACTTTTCGAATCCAGGACTGTATGAGTTTCCTTTTGCTGCTGTAAAAAATTACCACGAACTTGGTGGCTTAAAACTACACAAATTTATTATTGTTATAGTTCTGGAGGTCGGAAGTCTGAAATGGGTCTCCTTGGGCTAAAATCAAGGTGTCGGCAAAGCTG